GCGCCCTCGCCGTTAGGGGGACAGGGGTGCCCCTAGCGCGGCAGCGACCTCCGCGGATCGCCTGCCCCCGCCGCGCGTCTCCCAACTTGCGCGGGCGCGGCCGGCTCCGCGGCCGCCGCTTGCGCTGCCTCCCGCTGCTGCGCTACCAGCTCCGGCATCTCCGCCGCGCAGGGCTGGCGTGGGGCTGCGCGGGTGCGCGCCTGTGTGTGCGTGCGCCTAAAGCAGATAACTGGAAAGGGTTTCCAGAAGGTGGGAAATGTCACCTGATTCACACTGAACTTTTTAAATCTCCCCACCCCTGAGCAGACACACACACGCATTAGGAGACCGCCCACAGCAGACAGCTAGGACCCCCGTATAGATTTAAAGAGAGACTGCATTTAGAGCCTGACGTTCATTCAATAGAGCGATCATAAGCAGGCTGGCTAGTGCTTGCTCCCTCTCCCTACTCCCCCTCACGCTGTTTCTGTGTCTCTCTCACTCCCTGCTAGACTGAGGATGTTAAATCAGAGAATCCACCCGGGCATGCTCTTACTCCTGATGCTTCTCTGCCACTTCATGGAAGATCACACAGTGCAGGGTAAGACCAGATTGTTTATTCCCAGATATGTTTATTATTACTATTGTTTTCTGTCTTTTGGACACGGTTTAGTTTGCTGCGGTGTTAAACGCCTCTCTCCAAGGTCCAACAGGACCGAGAAGTTAACTGTGGGCATGGGATTGCTTTCTACCGAGATGCAGAGGTGTCATTTAGATTCCTTTTTGATCGGATCTTCGCACTGGTCTCTATAGGCACAGAGAACAGACAGGATGTTTCTTGGTATTTGTTATTATGCAGCATGAATGAAGAGCAGCATAGCGAGGGACCTTTCCCAGTTTCGGCTCCCGAATGAGTGCTCAAAGTTTGTTGGTAAAGATTGTTGTTGGCAAAGTTTGTTGGCTCAGATTTTTATCATGCCTGCCTGACGGAAGGAGAGGTGATGATGGGGAGCCCCACAATTACAGCTGACATTTTTAGAAACCAATAAGTGGTATTTTTCTGGACATGTCTTTAATATTGGGATTTCCTC